ATGGCATCCCATACGGTCGAAGCACTTCACCAATGCTGTGGAAGAGGTGATGTTTTGACCCCTGCAACCGATCCCCGTGCGCAGATACACCGAACCGACCACGACCCCCCCTGCGCAAAGACCGCTCCAGAGCCCCAATCGAAACCGATGATCCGGAGGTAGCTCGATCCCAGGAGGGAGGGCGTCAAGGCCCTTGAGGCCCCATAGCTTCGGTGTGGCCAAACCAACTCCTCCCGACGTGCCTGACTCAGATCGCCCCGACGGCGCCGCTGGGGAGAGCAATGAGTTCAGCCCTGACTTCTGCAAAGCATGCTGGACGTCTGCCAGCTGAATCTCTGACTGACGATGCTCCTGGAAGAGAACCAAGTCGGCCTCGACAGCGTCAATGACCTCCAGGAGCGGCCTGCGGGAGACTCTGGAGCCCTGGTCGCACTCCACTCCCCACGAAGTAATGTTAGACGTGCAGATCCTCCAGACCTCAGGACGCCTATGCCGCACACGCTTGGCTGGAACCTGACCCTCCGCAGGAGGCACCGAACCAAGAATATCCGCCTGCGGAAGAACACCAGGCAGGCGGGCATGAGTCTCCAGTCCACCTCGCAGGGGACCAGCTTCGCTGCAAATCTGACCACCCTGCTTCCCCGCGATCTCCTCCAAAGCGACCGCGGTCCTGGCGGACCTGCCTCTCGTGCCCGCCAGGGCCTCAGGTGAACATGTACTGGAACACGGGAACGCCGCAGCACAGGACCTCAGCGGAGAAGCCGCCAGCACCATGCCGATCAGGTCACCCCCCATGTGGTCCAGCCTCGGCAGCATCGGATAAGTCCACATCCATACTCTGGCCAGCCCCATCACCAGGAACAAGAACGTCTTGCGCGTCAGGTGCCGCCGCGGCTGGGGGGTCCCGTCTGGACCGCTTAGCCAGGGCCGCGGGGTTCTCCAAGAACTCGAACATCTTCTTGAAAAGGCCTTCATACTGCACAGCATTACCGCCCTGCATGAGCTCAGTGAGCTGCTGCTTGCAGTCCTCGGCCACCCTGGAATCGATCGCCGTGGACGTCGCACCCCCATCTCCAGCCTCGCCAGCAGCAGCCCGCTGAGCAGCTGCCTCGGCCGCCTGCCGCTGGCGCTCCTCCTCACCCCGCTGGCACTGGAGCCCCGCCGCGGACAGGTCGCCCAGGAGGTCGACCACGGACTGGAACTGGGCCGCTTTGGCCGACCTGAATCCCGCGGGCAGATGGCCAAACAGCGTCTCCACCAAGCCAGAGATGGCAGTCTTACCATCAGCACCCACCGGATGAAGTACCGCACGGCGGTGTAGCCGCTGCAACTCCTCCTCCTCATGCTGGACGGACTCGGCCAGCTTCTGCTGCGACTGCACGCACTCCGCCAGGTCCAGCTCGAGCTCCTCCATCTTCTGCTTGATCGAAGCCTCAGTCGACTTCGCAGACTGGAGCTGGCCCTGGTAGTGCACCAGCTTGTCTTGATGAGACCGCACACGCATCCAAGGCATCTGGCCCTGGCTGTCGTCAGCTGTGGCCGACAGGATGGGGATCTGGGCCTTGGCAGCCACCACCAGCGGGTGTTCAGGCCCCAGGCCAGCCAGTGTGAGCTGCTCGATGGCGGCAGACAGAAACTCCTGCTTGGCCGCCCTGCTGTCAACGCCCTTCCCTTTAGCTCGAGCGGCCGAGCCGCCCTTGCCGTGCCAAGGACCAGGCTTCGAAGGTACATCTCCGCCACCGCCTGGGGACTCAGCATCATCCTGATCGGCCGTCTGACCTCCCTTGCGACCCTTGCCGCTCTTGCCGACCAGCTGCCATGCATCTTGAGCTTGTTGCTCGCCTGTCCTCCTCCATGGCCTTGGAGGAGCCTGGACAGTGTCACGAACAACAATGTCACGAATCCACTTCTTGCAGCGAAAACATCGACTCCACTCCACCAAATTGTACTGGTGGCCGCACGAATCCTTGCCATAGCACGTCTTGTACCCACTCTGCGAGTGAGGCCGCTCGCGTGCTTGCCGAGGAGGACCCTTGGGCGGATCAGGGACCATCAGCCGTGCGCGCACACTGATTGAAGAAAGCAGCAGTAGCTGGGGAAAACCAGCTCTGCAAAATGCCTCCCTGGCCAAGCAGTGAGGCGTCACTGTTGGGGCCGCTGACTCCCCCACGCCAGTAAGGTCAGGTCTCGTGCCAAAACGGCTACGGACTTGAGCCAAAATGGCCACGGATGCGTCACGGTGTGTGTGTGCGTGTGTGTGACGGCGTGTGTTGTGCGTGTTGTGCGTGTGTTACGCGTGTGTTGTGCGTGTGTCTTACAGTGTGTGCGTGTGTGTGTCACCGTGTGTGCGCGTGTGTGTCACAGTGAGCGCGTGTGCGTTACAGTGTGTGTGTGGGGGGGAGGGGTATGTGCGGATGCGTGCCACAGTGTGTGTGTGTGTCTGTGTGCATGTGTGTCGCTGTGTATGTGTGTGCGTGTGTGTGTGTGTCTGCGTGTCTGTGTGTGTGCGTGGGTGTGTGTGTGATGTGTGTTTTGTGTGCTGTGTGCGTGCGTCACAGTGTGCGCGTGTGCGTCACAGTGTGTGTGTGTGTGCGTGTGTGTGTCACAGTGTGTGTGTGTGTGAGCGTTACAATGTCTGTGCGTGTGTCACAGTGTGTGTGTGTGCGTGTGTGTGTGTGTGTGTCACAGTGTGCGTGTGTATATGCGTTACAATGTGCGTGCGTGTGAATATGTTTCACAGCGTGTGTGTGTGTGGTGTGCGTTGTGTATTGTGTGTTGTGCGTTGGGTGTGCATGTGTTGTTTGCTGTATGTTGCGAGTTGTGTGTTGTGTGTTGTGTGTTGTGCGTTGTGCTGTGTGCTGTGTGTTGTGTGCTGTGTTGTGTGTTGTGTGTGATGTGTTGAGTTGTGTGTCGTGTGTGTTGTGCTGTGTGTTGTGTGCTGTGTGGTGTGTGTTGTGTTGTTCGTTGTGTGGTGTGTGCTGTGTGCTGTGTGTTGTGTGTTGTGTGGTGTGCGTTGTGTGTTGTGTGCTGTGCGTTGTGTGCTGTGTGCTGTGTGTTGTGTGCTGTGTGTTGTGTGTTGTGAGTTGTGTTGTGTGTTGCTTTATGTGTGTTGTGTGTGTTGTGCTGTGTGTTGTCTTGTGTGTCGTGTATTGTGCGTTCTGTGTTGTGCATTGTGTGCTGTATGTTGTGTGCTGTGTGTTGTGTTGTGTGTTGTGTGTTGTGTGTTGTGTGTTGTGTGTGCTGTGTGCGTGTTGTGTGTACTGTGTGTCGTGTTGTGTTGTGTGTTGTGTGTTGTGTGTTGTGTGTTGTATGTGTTGTGTGTTGTGTGTTGTGTGCTGTGTGTTGTCTGTTGTGTGTTGTGTGTGAGTTGTGCTGGGCTGTGTCGTGTTGTGTCCTGTTGTGTTGTGGTGTGTTGTGTTGTGTGTGTTGTGTGGTGTGTGTGTTGTGTTGTGTGTGTTGTGTGTGGCGTGTTGTGGTGTGTTGTGTTGTGTTGTGTTGTGGTGTAGTGTGGCGTGGTGTGGTGTTGTGTGTTGTGGTGTGCTGTGGTGTGTTGTGTGTGTTGTGGTGTGTTGTGGTGTGTTGTGGTGTGTTGTGGTGTGTTGTGTTGTGTTGTGGTGTGCTTTATGTGTGTTGTGTGTGTTGTGCTGTGTGTTGTCTTGTGTGTCGTGTATTGTGCGTTCTGTGTTGTGCATTGTGTGCTGTATGTTGTGTGCTGTGTGTTGTGTTGTGTGTTGTGTGTTGTGTGTTGTGTGTTGTGTGTGCTGTGTGCGTGTTGTGTGTACTGTGTGTCGTGTTGTGTTGTGTGTTGTGTGTTGTGTGTTGTGTGTTGTATGTGTTGTGTGTTGTGTGTTGTGTGCTGTGTGTTGTCTGTTGTGTGTTGTGTGTGAGTTGTGCTGGGCTGTGTCGTGTTGTGTCCTGTTGTGTTGTGGTGTGTTGTGTTGTGTGTGTTGTGTGTTGTGTGTGTTGTGTGTTGTGTGTGTTGTGTGTGGCGTGTTGTGGTGTGTTGTGTTGTGTTGTGTTGTGGTGTAGTGTGGCGTGGTGTGGTGTTGTGTGTTGTGGTGTGCTGTGGTGTGTTGTGTGTGTGTGTTGTGGTGTGTTGTGGTGTGTTGTGGTGTGTTGTGGTGTGTTGTGTTGTGTTGTGGTGTGTGTTGTGTGTTGTGTGTTGTGTGTTGTGTTTCCCCTTGGCCCCAGATTTCCCATGAAAAGGACGGGTCCTGGGTGAGAAAAACAGTATCCCAAAAGGGTCCCGAAAAATCCTTCACCGCTCTTGGGGGCCTCCGGGGCCCGACACGGGCCTGGAACCGACAAAGAACGACTCACGATGAAGAACTGGCCCTGGGGAAAGGACCCAATTCCGTCAGGACCATTTCTTTAGTAGCGATAGACTTACGTCGGGCCTGTCCCCCAAAATGGCCAAAGAATGCTAAAAAAAACCGTCCCCTGAGTATTTTTTTGCTATTTTTGAATATCCCTCCTGTAGAGGGACAGGCCCGATTTAACGATAGACCTCCGAGCTGTGATTCTTCGACGGCTTGGGCCCCCAGAGCTGTCGACGCCGTCCCCGATATGCGCCAATTTGTTCGTCGCGGGTGGACCTTCACCGCCCCGGGGCTCGACAGAAGCCCCAGATGCCGAAAAACCTGTCCATAAACTCGCCCTGAGCGAACCCCACCAGAGACATGCTGCGCATGTTACCGAAGCCCGTCCTGTGCGTCTGCTCCGCGTCCTGGCTCAAAGTCTTCGCGTGTTGTATATGAGAGTGCTGCTTGCGCCCGTATCCCGTGCACTTCTCGCGATTGCTGTGCACAGCGCCTGTCTTTGCTGACTCGAGACTCCTCGAGGTATTGGTGCCCCCCTCTCTCCCTCCCTCCCTCCCTCCCCCCTCCCTCCCCCTCCCTCTCTTCTCTCCCTCCTTCTCCCTTCTGCCTCTCCCTCCTTTACCTCTTCCTCCCCCTCCCCCCTCTCTCGCTCTCTCTCTCTCTCTCTCTCTCTCTTTCCTTCTCCTTTTTCCGCGGCGACGGGGCCTGCGCGCAGGCGCCTGCTGTGAGGCGCGTCGCCCCTCGCGTACACGGTCGCAGCCTCTGGCGACGTGCCTTCGCAGGAGTCGAAGATCCTGCAGCCGCCGTCCGCCCACTCGGCGAAGAACCTGCACTGGGCATTCGCGAGGCAGTCCTGCCCGCAGTTCCCGCCCTGCCGGGGGCCGTGCCACTGGGCGAGGGGAGGGGCCGTGCAGACGGCGTCGTCCGCGAACCAGCCGAAGCCGGCCTTCCGGTTGGGGTCCGCCGCCCAGGCCGCCTCCTCCTCTTGGCGGCGAGCGAGGATGGGGGGGGAGATGAGAAACGGAGGAGGCCCTCTCAGCAGGCTCGGAAGTCCCCCGGCCTTGCGAAGAGCTTTCTTTCAGCCTTCCCCGGAGGCACGGGAGAACAGCCTCTCAGAGAAGGCGCGAGGGCTTCTGAGAAGTCCCGACGCCCTCTGAGAAGGTCTTCGCGTTCGGACACACGAGACCGGGACGGGAAGGCAACGGAGAAATACGAGCTTCCACCTCAGCCTGCGAAGAATCAAGGCCCTGGAGACCCCAACGAAGGATCCTGGAGTTCGAGGCCATCGAAGGAGGATATGACCCTGGCTTCACCTGGGCCTCCTCCTCGAGGTGAAGACCGCTCCTCCTCCCTTCCTGCACCCCCGCCCCCCGCCCGCCGCTGCTCCTCGTCGATGGGCACGTAGAGCCCGTGCCTGCAGCCCTGCAGCGGCCGCGGCCCGCCGCTCCGGGGCCGGAGCTCCCCGCGGAGCCGCCACCACTCCCGCGTGAGGGCCTGGCAGAGCCATTGCGCCGGGCGGGGCGCGGCGCACTTCCACGGCTTCCCGCACGAGCCCGTGAAGTGGGCCGACTTGACCCCCGCGATCACCGCTGCATGGTCGGATGCGCGGACCACCTGCCCGACCCCCGCCAGCCCAAAACGCGAAGGCCCCAAGGTTTCGCCCGAAGTCCGGGTTGGGGGGGTTAGAAGATGTCCCCAGGTGTTTTTCTCCGTGTTCCTCGCCCCCCCTCCCCCACTGGAAATGGCGGGCAAAGTGGGGCCTTCGGGTTGGGTTGGGGTGGCTTGGTGGGTGGTCAGATTCATTCAGCTCAGAATTCAGGCGGCCACCATCCAGGACGTCATACACCGACCTGTCCACAGCATGGAATCTCGATCCGGTGAGCCTCTCCGCTCTAAGGCCTTCCGGAAGCTGCGTCTTGTTGATCTGGACCGGAAGCGCGCCCCTGTTGAAGTAGTACTGGAGCAGGCCATCGGGCCCAGCACCACCATAGCAGTACCCGATCCTGCTCTTCTTCCAGCCGTCACCCCCCCAGTCCCCCTCGCGCGTCAGCTCTCTGATGGCCTCGAAGTCATCCACGTTCGGCCTGAAGAGCAGAAAGCCACCCTGCGCGGGCGGTACTGCCGCGCCAGGGACGTCAATGCCGTGGTCGTAGATGCCAACAAGGTCTGCCTCGAGCTCCATGAGCTCATCCATAGGGTCCAGGATCATCATGTCCGCGTCTATCACCAGAGCCCTGTCGTATCCGACCAGGGTCAGGCCCCAGTACTTGATGGTCTCCTCCCCGGGGCACTGAACAAAAACATGTAAGAACTCAACAGAGCAGGACAGACCCTCGGAGACCCCAAAAAGCGGAGACTGGCGGATAGGGTGCGGTCGGGGGTGCACCGAGGAGGGGGCGAAGGGGGAGGAGAGGGAGGAGAGAGCCCAGAGAAGGGAGTAGGAGGAAGGAGGAAGAACCTTATGAGCAGGAGGAATCGCAGGACGAGAAGAAACCCGAGGAGGAGGAGGAAGGAGAGAGGAGGAAGAGGAGGGGGAGGGGGAGGGGGAGGGGGAGGGAGGGGGGGTCAATGGGGGGGTCGGAGCGGAGGAGGGGTCACGAGCAGCCGCCCGCAGGCTACACCAGGCGGGCAGAGCGAGAGAGAGAGAGAGGTGAGGTAAGAAGAGGGGAGGGGGAGGGATGGAGACAAGACAGGTCGAGAGGGGGAGGGGCGAGTAGAAGACGAAAAAACGCCATAGACATGAACTTTTGGCGCTCCGCGCTGATTTCTTGGATCAGAGCTGGAACCCATCCCTGGCGCACGGAGCGCGCCACGGGAGGGGCAGGAGGCGCCGCCGGGGGGGGGCCCAGCGAAGATCCAGGAAATCCGCACGGAGCGCCAAAAGTTTATGTTTACGCTTAGGTCGGGCGTGTTCCCCCACAGGCAGATTTTGGACGAAAAATCAAAAATACTCAAAAAATATTCAAAAAATTCCCCCCCCCCCCCCCCCAAAAAAAAAAAAAAAAAAAAAAAAAAAAAAAAAAAAAAAAAAAAAAAAAAAAAAAAAAAAAAAAAAAAAAAAAAAAAAAAAAAAACGTCCCCATATTATTTCTTGACCATGTTTTAACATTCCTCCTGTAGAGTTTATACCGTTTTTGCTCCTTCGATTTACGAGGATGTCGAACACTCTGGGCTGCCGGCCTGGCCGCCGATCCTCGGCGAACGCAAACTTGTCCGCCCCCGCCGACTTCCCGCCCATGAAGTTGCGGACGGCATCCCCCCTCACCTCTCGGGGGAACGCACTGACCCGTGTCGGTATGCAGGACCTGGGTCAGCTGGGCCCAGGATCCCGCAGGATCCCCCAGAACCCCCCCTCGAGCAAGGACAAAATCACGACGGGAGGATTTTTCAATTTTCGGCCTCTGGAGGCCCTTGCTGGGCCTCGGGACCGTCAAAAAACGACTCGGGATGAAAAACCGGTCCTGGAGAAGAAGTCGAGACCTCTGAGGGTCGACGTCATGGAAAAATCATGACGTCGGGGGCCTGGGTCCCGCAGGATCCTGCGCGCAGACCCGGGTCAGTGCACCCCTGGCTCTGCAAGATCCTGCAAGATCCGGGCGCTTTGGCCGGCCCAAGACGGCAGCCAGGACGAGGATAAGTTTTGGGTGAGGACACATCGAGAACCTCTGAGATCCGGCGGCTCTGGAGGATGTATCGGGCGCCGCGGCCTTCTCAGAGTTGGATGCGCATGCTGGGACCTTCCTGGAAACACTCGCTCCACTCGTGCGTCGAAGCTGCGTCGAACGTCCGTCGGTTTGAGCCGACCGTGAGTCGAACCTGGGTCGAATCTGACTCCAACTTGAGTCGAACTTGAGCCGAACTTGAGTCGAACTGGCGCCGAACTAGAGTCGAACAGATCCGTTAGGTGGGCCCCAGGAAGGTACCCAAAACGAGCATCTGATCAGAGCGTTCCGGAACGCACTGAGAAGCCGCGGCCAGTGCCCCGTCCGATGACCTTCGTTTGCACTGACCCCCGTCCCCAGCCCCCCGACGTCATGACTTTTTCATGACGTCGACCCCCAGAAGCTTCGGCCTATTCCCCGGGACCAGTTTGTCATCCCGAGTCGTTCTTTGACAGTCCCGAGGCCCCGGAAGGGCCCCCAGAGGCCAAAAGTGGCGAAAAACCTCCTGTCATGATTTTTTGATTACTCGAGGGGGTCTGGGTCCGATGACCCCCGCTTGCACTGACCCCCGTCTCTGGGCTCCCGAGACACCTCCTCGGCCGGCACGGGGACCGGCCTCTTCAGCACCTCCTCTTCAGGCAGGGGGGCGGCGGGGGGGGGGCACTCCCCACGCTCTTGGCTCCTGCCTCTCCCCCTCCTGCAGGAGAGGGGGAGGAGGAGGAGGAGGGAGGAGGAGGAGGAGAGGAGGAGGAGGAGGAGAGGAGGAGGAGGGAGGAGGAGAAAGGAGAGGGAGGAGGAGGGAGGGGAAGAGAGGAGGAGGAAGGAGAGGGGAGAGGAGGAGGAAGAGGAGGGAGGAGGAGAGGGAGAGGAGAGGAGAGAGTGTTGCTAGAAGTACCCCTGGCCCAGGGTACCCCCAGGATTCTCGGGGTGGCCCGAACGGCCGCCAGGGCACACCTAACGAGGCCCAGAGGGCCCCAGGAGCTGCAAAATAAAGCAAAAAGCTGGGGGCACCGTGGGCCAGGGGCACTTCTAACAACACCAGCGGGGGAGGAGGAGGAGGAGGAGGAGGAGGAGGAGGAGGAGGAGGAGGACGACGACGACGACGACGACGACGACGAGCGGAGGGGTGGGGGTGGGGGGAGAGAAGAGGGGGAGTAGAGACAGTTGCTCTGATGGCCCCAGAACCCGAAGACGGCCCCCGAAGCCTGAAATCAAGGCAAACCGCCCAGATTGGAAAAAAGACGCGTCGTCGGAGATCCAGCCCCAAGTCCAGCCCCACAAGCGACGCTCAAAAACGAGTCTTACGCGAGATGACACAGCGATCTTAGGCCGCAGCTCACGCGGGCCGCCGGCGCTGCACGCAACAATGAAGACGAGGGCGCTCACGCGCGACCTTACGCGGGCAGCTTGCGCGCCAATGTCGGCGCAGACGACCCCGTTTTTGTTGCGTCGCTCCGTTGTCATTCGTTTCAATACAGTGGGGGGGGGGGGGGCCATGCCACGAAACGCCCTGCTTGCCTCCTGGGTGCCCTGGGCTTCTTGGCCTTCGATGGTTTTGCTATGGAAAGCGCGAAGTCCTCACACCAAAAATCTAAGGGCGCCCTGGGGTCTCAGGGTTGGGCTTCTTGTGAAGGCTTCTTGTGGACAGGCCTCCACTGCAGAGAGGAAAGCCTGGGGCGAGGAGGAGGGCCAGAAGACCGCCCTGCTCTGCGGAGAGGCCCCAGTGGTGCCGTGTCGGCTCCGCCGGGGCCCGCGGGCGTCAGGGAAGCAGGCACAAAGGGAGGGGGGGGAAGAGGGGGGAGGAGAAGGGGGGAGGGATGGGGGGGACGGAGGAGGGAGGGGTTAGGAGGGAGGGGTTTAGAAGGGAGGAGGGGGGAAGAAACGACAGGAGTGAGGGGGAACGACGGAGGAGGAAAGACGGAGGAGGATGGAAGAAAGAGGACGGACAAGAGAACGAAGGGCGGTGGAAGGACGATGGAGGAGGGAGGGAGGGAGGGAGGGGAGGGAGGGGAAGGGAAAGGGGATTGTAAAAGGGAATGGAGAACGGACGACGAAGCCGGGGAGGGGCAAGGGGGAGTTAGGGAAAGGGGGGGGGGGGATCCTGTAACACCACTCTTCTCTATCGCTCGTCTCCTCTCTCCGATTTTCTACACTGCCACTCTCCCTGTTGTCTTCTCTCATCTCTCAATCTTCCAAACCTGGTAACCTCACCACCCCCCTCTCTCCTCTTATTTTTTGATCTTATTCTTTTACCCTCAAAAACAACGCCCCCACCCCGCTCCCAACCACCCACTGCGCTCTCGTCCCCCATCCCTCCACCCCCAACCCCCAATCCTCTCTTGCTGCTTAGCAGCTTGCTGCTGCTTTTATGATTGCATGAAGCCTTAATACGAAGCATGCGCTGCTTGTTCGCGCACGTCTGCGCATATCAAGTGCTGCCTGCAGCTACTGCAGCTGCTGCTCATCCCTGCACTCCTCCTGCTCCTCCTCCTCCTCTCCTCCTCCTCCTCCTCCCCTCCTCCTCCTCCTCCTCCTCCTCCTCCTCCTCGTCTACTCGCACTTCTGGAGAATGATGACAACGACGACGGCCACAATAACGACGATGACGATGACGACAACGACGACGACGACGACGACGACGACGACGAAGACAAAGACAAAGACGAAGACGACGAAGAAGACGACGACGACGACAACGACAAGAACGACCACCACCACGACGACGACGAGGACGACGACGAGGACGAGGACGCGACGAGGGCGACGAGGGCGACGAGGACGACGAGGACGACGACCACCTCAGCCACGACCACGACGAAGGCGACGACGGCACCCACGACCACGCCCACGACGACGACAGCGACGACCTCCCGCACCACCACGACAACGACCACGACGCCGACGACGACTACGACGACCACCACGACGACGATGACGACGACGACGACGACGACGACGACGACGACGACGACGACGACGACGACGACGGCGACGGCGACGACGACGACCGCCACGTCGCCGACGACGGCGCCCGCCGACGACGACGGCGCTGGCCGCGGCGGCGCTTGCGGCGCTTGCGGCGGCGGCTTCGGCTTCGGCTTCGGCGGCGAGGTCTCCTTGTACCCCACCTCCAGCAGGTGCTTCTCCGCCGGCTCGGTCAGCCTCTCGGGCGCCAGCACCAGCAGGTCCACCCTGTGCCTGGAGAGAGAGGGGGGCACAACTCAAACCGAAGGGACGGCCCCGTCGGAACGACACCGGCCAACGGGCCCAGCAGCCCGGCCGCACCACTTCGACCGCCTCGCCGCTGCGCTCGTGGGGAAGCTCTACGAGCCATGGCAGCACGAGGAGATGCTGCATGCTAGAACCGTGTGTGTGTGTGTGTGCCCCTCTGGGCGCCACGCGTCCGACCCGAGCTTGTGGTGCAACACTCTTAAGGCAAACTGGTGCGCGAGCGGCCTGGCCAAAAAACTGCGCCCGCCACGGAGCCCAGACCGCACGACTTTTCGGTGCGCTCGTCAGCAATATGCGGGGCCGGCACGCGCACAGCAGACGGCGCATGTCCGGGTGCTGCCGAAAATTCACCTCCCCCCCAGCGAGGGAGGGGGGACGACAGGAGGAGGCCGGCTCAGGGGGGAAGCCATCGAAGTGGAATCGGCGACACACCGACGATGGATCGGCGAGGGGCCCCCCATGGCGAAACCGCACGGTCCTGGGCGGGGCGGGCTATCAGACCCCTTGCGGTGACGAATGGGCGACGGGGAGTCGAGGCGCTGCCCCCCCCCCCTTAAGCATATCCCCCCCATACCGTTGCCCCTGAGCGAGGGCGTCGCGAGCGCGCCCACAGCTCAAGTCTGCTCGTCGAGCCTCGTTCGCGAGGGGCCCCCGATCCAGGCCTTCGGGCGTCGCGAACAGGTCCCAGCAGGCGGCCTCCCCCTCCCGCTACCCCCTCCTCCGCCTTTGCCTCCTCTCCTCCTGCGCCTCGCCACCTCGTCCTCCTCCTCCTCCTCCTCCGCCGCCTCCTCCTTTCCACCTTCCTCCGCCTCCGCCCTCGCCTCCCCTCCTCCTCCTCCTTTCCCTCCTCCGCCTCCTCCTCCCTCCTCCTCCTCCTCCTCCTCCTCCTCCTCCTCCTCCTCCTCAGACTAAGATCGGATCTGCGGGAGCCGCCTTCGGGCCCCGGGGCTGTCAAGACATGACCCACAACGAGAGACAGGCCCCCAGGGGTGCGGTCGGGAGCTCTGGGCGCCCAGGTGTGACAAGATCGTGTCGTCGGAAGGCCTGGGGAGGCACGGCGGCGCCCACAGAACACCCCCCCCCACCGATCCTGACCAGGCCGTCGCCAAAAAATGGCGCTGACCAAATCTTCACGCTCAATCACCTCTGGATGAAATGTCCCAGGGACCGTCAAAAAAACTCAAGACGAAAAGCCAGTCCCAGGGTCGAAATCCCTGGTGGCCTACGCCACGCCCAAAGTGCGACGTTGGAAGAGAGGGCTCCCCTTCGTGGTGAGGACCGGGGAGACGTAAGACTCGGGTTCGGGGTACTCGGGTTAGCCTGACAGGGCCGTTAGAAGAATTGCGAGACCCCGTCTGAAAATTGACGAGAACTCCCGCCGCAGACATCCCACGAAAACTGGACCGTCAAAAACCACGACGGGCTCTTCAAAAAGCGTCGGCGAATCCGAGTTTCGGCAAACTCGAGTCTTAAGTTTCACCGAGAGGAGATGGTGGAGCTCGGCCGAAGTCTGCGCCGGCGCACAGATTCTTCCAGCGACGGGGCCCAAGCCTGCTCCGGGCAGCCGCCTTGCGCACGCCGTGCGCCAGCACCGCCAGCGCGTCCATCCCCGCGGGGTTCGACACGTCCGTGACGAAGACCGCGAACGCCACGCGCAGCGCGCGGGCCGCGCCGGCCTCCAGGGGAGTCCGTCAGGAGGCGGCCAGGGGGTGTTCGGCCTTGCGCTCGGCGCGCAGCGCCGCCTCTGCATCCTACGCACCGCGGCCCCCCCCCTCCTCCTCCTCCTCCTCCTCCTCTTCCTCCTCCTCCTCCTGCCTCCTCCTTCCTCTCTTCCCCTCCTCCACCTCGCCCTCCCTCCTCCTCCTCCTCATTCCCCCTCCTCCCTCCTCCTCCCCCTCCTCCCTCCTCCTTCCCTCCCTCCTCCCCTCCCCTCCCCTCCCTCCTCAATCCCGCCCTCCATCCTCTCCTCACTCATCCTTTTTCCCCCTCCTCCTCCTCTCCTCCTCCCTCCTCTATCCCTCTCCTCTTCCCTTCTCCTCCTCCTCCTCCTCCCCTCTCTTTCTTTCGTCTCCTCCGTTCTTCTCCTTTTTTCCCTCCTCATCTTCCTTGGGTCCTAGTTGGGTCCTCCTCCTCCTCCTCCTCCTCCTCCTCCTCCTCCTCGTCTCCCTATGCCTCCTCCTCCACTCTCTTCCTCTTCCTCCTCCTTTTTTTTTCTCCTTTCCTCTTTTCCTCTCGTCCTCCTCCTCCTCCTCCTACTCCTCCTCCTCCTCCTCTCAACCCCCCTCTTCCTCCTCCTCCTCCTCCTCCTCCTCCTCCTCCTCCTCCTCCTCCTCCTCCTCCTCCTCCTTCATGTTTTCCCCATAGACATGTCGTTCCTGTCGCACCCCAAGACGCGTCGGCAGGGCGGGTTGGGTGTTTCGCCAGGGGCCTCCGATCCACGGAAGGCCCTTGATTTCCAACAACTACCAGGATGGATGGGGGGAGGTCAAAATTGGATTTTCGCCTTGGCGTCGCGCACACTCGTCTCAAAGTTTGCCGCACCAACAAGGATGCAGCACAACTGATTTCCAAAAATGGCGCTCGAAAAGTTCGCAACACCTAGAAGGATGGAGCACCGGTGTTTTTTCGAAATGGGGCTTTCGCCTAGCGCCGCACACGTTCGTCCTAAAAGCTCGCAAGAGTTAGAAGGGAGGGAGTGGAGGTCGTTTTCAAAATGGGGCTGTTGTGTTAGCACCGAGCACATCCGTCTTCAAGACTTGCAACGAGTGCGAGGATGGGGGACGGCTCCGTTTCACAACGTAATTCTGGCTTGAGACTACCTTGAAATGACCAGAAACGTCACAACATGTGTAGCAGCTGAACCAATGGAAGACGGTTCCTTCTTCATGATGGGGTTATCGCTTGAGGCTTCCTCGAAGACCTTGACCAAAATGTAAGATTGCGCAACGCTTACACGGATGGTGGCCGGAAGCTTTCCTTGAACACTACGCTGGAAGGACGACTAACTGTCCGGATTTTCTAACGACGCGCTAGAAGGATGCACACCTGATCCTTTACAAAGCGGGGACATCGACTCAATGCCGGGCCCACTAGATGCTGGTACGTTGAAAACCTGGGAGGGGATCATGAGGAGGGCACTTGGGCCGGGAGGGTATATTGCAGCATCGATCTGATGCATATTGGGCTCACTCAGATTCTCCACCTCCTCTTTCCTCCTCCTCCTCCTCTTCCTCCTCCTCCTCCTCTTCCTCTTCCTCTTCTTCTTGATAGTGTTCTTCTTGTTATGATTATTCTTCGCAATATTCATATTTCTGTTCGACGTATTACGATTACTAATATCGTTCATACTATTAATTTGAACCGTAATATTATTATTTCCCGTTTGCATTAGTTATAAGTGTTGTCCGTCTTAAAAGTATGCTGAATGTTATTATCAATCTTCCTCTGAAAACTATTACAAGTATTGGTATGAATGTGTATTCGGCGTTGTGGAAGTCCTTATCAGCACTATCACAATTAATACTATGACTATTGATCCTACGCTTAAAACTAATCATCCTGCTCCTCCTCCTCCTCCTCCTCCTCCTGCTCCTCCAGTTCTTTCTCCTCTTCCTCCTCGTTTTGTCTCCTCCTCCTCCTCCTCCTCCTCCTCCTCCTCCTCCTCTTCCTCCTCCTCCTCTCTTCTCCTCGTCCTCCTCCTTCTGCTCTTCCTCGTCCGTTTCCTCCTAATCCGCCTCCTCCTCCTTTTCCTCGCTCTCCTCTTTCTCCTCCTCCTTCTCCTCCTCGTTCTCGTCCTCCACCAGCCTTCCGACCCTCCTCCTCCTCCACCTCCTCCTCCTCCTCCCTCATCCATCATCATCAGCAGCATCATTAATCAAGCAGCATCAGCATCATCATCATCATCAATCATCATATCATCATCATCATCATCATCATCATCATCCATCATCAACACCATCACCATCACGCATCACCATCATCTTCCATCATCATCATCTCATCATCACCATACATCATCACAGCATCATCACAACATCATCATCATCATCAATCAACAGCATCATCGTGCATCATCATCAGCATCACATCACTATCAGCATCATCATCATATCATCATCATCCATCAACATCACATACATCAATCATAACATCGTCATCATCATCATCATCATCTCATCATCATCATCATCATCATCATCATCATCATCATCATCATCATCATCATCATCATCCTTATCATCATCATCATCATCATCATCATCATCATCATCATCATCATCATCATCATCATCATCATCATCATCATCATCATCATCATCATCCCCATCATGATCATCAGCATCGTATTCTTAATCACCATCAGCATCAGCATCATCAGCATCAGCAGCAGCAGCAGCATCAGCATCATCATCATCATCATCAGCATCAGCATCATCATCAGCAGCATCATCATCAGCAGCATCATCATCAGCATCAGCATCATCAGCAACATCGGCATCATCATCATCATCATCATCAGCATCATCATCATCATCATCATAATCAGCATCATCATCATCAGCATCAGCATCAGCATCGTCATCATCAGCAGCATCAGCATGCCCCCATTGGCTCTCCGTCTCCTGTTTCACCCCCCTCCTCCTCTTGTTCTTCCTCGTCTTCTTCTTCCTCGTCTTCCCCCTCCTCCTCTTCCTCCTATTCCGCCTCCTCTCCCTCCTTCCTATCCTCCTCCTCCTCCGTCTCCTCCTCATTTTCCGTTTCCTGCTCCTCCTTCTCCTCCTCCTCCACATCCTCCTCCTCATCCTCCTCATCCTCATCCTCCTCGTCCTCGTCCTTCTCATCCTCTTCCGCCTCTTCCTCATCCTCCTCCTGCTCCTTCTCCTCCGCCTTCTCTTGCTCTTCCTCCTGCTCTTGCCCCCTCCTCCGTCTCTCCTCTACCTCCTCCTTCCTCCTCCTCCTCCTCCTCCTCCGCCTCCTCCTCCTCCTCCTCTCCTCGTCCTCCTCATCCCATCCCTCATCCTGTCATCCTCATACATCCGCATCGTCACCTCCCTCTCCACAACCTCCTCCTCCTCCTCCTCCTCCTCCTCCTCCTCCAACTCCTCGTCCCCCTCCTCCTCCACCTCCGCCTCCTCTTCCTCCTCCTCCTCCATATCCTCACACCCCTCATATCCTCCTCCAATCGCCTTCATCCTCCTCCTCCTCCTCCTCCTCCTCCTCCCTCCTCACTCCGCCTCCTCCTCCTCCTCCTCCTCCTCCCCTCCTCCTGCTCTTCCTCCTCCTCCTCCTCCTCCACCTCCTGTCCTCCTCCTCCTCCTTCCTCCGCCTCCCGCCGCCGCCATCCCGCCTCCTCACTCTCCTGCCGCCTCCTCCTCCTCCTCCTCCTCCCTCCTCCTCCTCCCCCTCCCCCTTCCCTTCCTCCTCCCCCTCCCCACCCTCCTCCTGCTCTTCCTCCTTCTCCCCCTCCTCTTCCTCCTCTTCGTCCTGCTCATCCTCCTCCTCCTCCTCCTCCTCCTCCTCATCCTCCTCATCATCTTGCTCTTCCTGCTCCTCTTCCGCCTCCTTCCTCCTTCCCACACGAATGTTGTTTTTGTTCAGCTTCCTTGGAATAACATGTTAATTCTTCTTGCTGAAAGTAATACGCCCCTTCGAATGTAGCATGATCATTCGTTGTACCATGATTACTCTGATTGATACTCGTATTACCACTGGTCGTCGCATTGATCGCGTTCTCAGAAATATTATCAAGTGGTGTTATTAGTAGTAGTATTAAGAATAGTCTCAGAATGCTTGATCTCTTAATTTCGTGAATCGAACTCTTAGTGGTACTATTAGTAACAGTGTTAGTTTGAGTAGTAGTAGTAGTAGTAGTAGTAGTAGTAGTAGTAGTAGTAGTAGTAGTAGTAGTAGTAGTAGTAGTAGTAGTAGTAGTAGTAGTAGTGGTAGTAGTAGTAGTAGTAGTAGCAGTAGCAGTAGTAGTATTAGCGGCGGAATTACTAGTCGTAGTAGCATTCGCGCTACGAGTAGTAGTCTTAGTGCTATTAGTAGTGTTCGTGTTAGCTGCAGTATTGTCCAAGTCGCTGTAGTATTCGTATCAGTATAAGTTTCTTCTGGTAGTAGTATTATTCGTACCATTGCTAATGCATCTGAGCAGTATTTCTAGTCGCCATGTATGTATTATTCGTTTTGCCGTATGTATCAGTAGTGTTCAAGTATTCGGAGCATTCGTCTGCTTAGTCTTCTCATCAGTGGAATGAGTATTGTTCTTCTTTGTCTGACTAGTATTGCTAATCATATACTTACAAGTTTCGTTACAACTATTATTACCACGATTCGTAATGCTAAAACTGCCATTATGGTCCTGATTATCAGTATTGTTATGATTATTCTGACTAGCCTTACCAGCATCATTCGTAGTATGAGTAGGATTACTAATACTCTCAGTATACTCAACGTGAATGATATCAATATGATGATCAGTCGCAGTCTTCTCAATACTACTGATTAGTGATAGCATTCCTCTCCCCATTACTATTGTTAGTACCCGTAAACTTCTCACTCTTAGTAGTATTAACATTAGTACGATTATTCGTCGCGCTCTTCGTGTGTTTAGTTTCACTATTCATAGTATTATTATTCGTCTTATCGCTCTTAGTATGATCAATTATCTTATCATTCGTGTTGCTAGTTATAATGCTATGGAGATCGATATTGTCACTAGCAATGTCATCGCTACGATTCGTAGAATTACTGTTCTATTGTTATAACTGGAACGATGATTAGTACTATTCGTCGTATTCCTCCTCCTCTCCCTCTTTTTCTTCTTTGTCTTCCTTCTCCTCCTCCTCCCTCCTTTTCCTCCTCCTCCTCCTCCTCCTCCTCCTCCTACTACTACTACTACTACTACTACTACTACTACTACCCCTCCTCCTCCTCTTCCTCCTCATCCGCTTTCTCATGCTCATCCTCATCCTCATCCTCTTCCTCCTCTTCCTCCTCCTCCTCCTCATCATCATCCTCATCATCCTCATCCTCATCCTCATCCTCATCCTCATCCTCATCCTCATCCTCATCCTCATCCTCATCCTCCTCCTCATCATCATCATCATCATCATCATCATCATCTCCTCTACATACATCATCATCTCATCATCATCATCATCATCATCATCCTTCCCCTCCAACACCTCCCGGACCGCGTGTCCGCAAGCCTTCCTGAGGCTCCACCCCTGACGCCGAACGAAACCGCGACGAGCTGGCAGGCGAAGGCGAACACCGGCCCTTCATCATCCCCCCCCTCATCCTCCTCACCGCCACCCTGTCCGACACCCTCCCTCCCTCGACCCCCGCCCCGCAGGGGCCCGCGGTCGACACGCACGGACCCCCTGGACCTGACTGGCGCTGGGCCGGCCCCCGCGGCGCCTGCCCGGCTGGCGCTGGCAGCGCAGGCGGCGGGACGCGTTGGCCGCTCGCCGCCGAGGGCGCCGCGGGCGCGGCGGAATCGGGCGCCGGGCTGCGCAGCCACACCTCGGCGGGCCAAAGGGGGGGGGCCGCAGGGCCTCGTCGCGCGGCTGGGAGGCGGGGAGTGTCCTGCCAGAGGGCTGGGGCCGGGGCCCAGGCAGGCGGAGGATTGATCTTTTCAGTCCGGGCGCTCCCCCTTCGCTTCGAGGCCCCCAGAGGCCCGTGAGATCGACCGCCGAGAGTGGGCTGGACGAGAGGCGGACCCCGAGGGAGGGGTCGGGACCTCCTGGGGGCCGCGGATGGGAAAAGACCCGACACAAGCACAGCAGCAAAAAAGAGGACGTCTGGGGATGTGGTAGGGCGGCGTGCCCACGACGCCCGGGCCGGCCTTCGGGTGTTGACCAGAGGGGGCTGCAAGACCTGACACGCCCGAAAGAGGCACGGAAAAACGGGCGCGATGCCCAACAGCACACGTCGCCCAAAACCGACAACGCCCGCTGTTGAGCTGACATTTCAATCCCAAGTGGACATCGTCCGCGGCGACACCGACAGGAACTCGTGCTAGCCTTCGCTCCCAGTCTTTCCGTGGCCACTTCGGGCCCTCCAGAAGGACGGCTGAACCAAGCAATGCGACGACTGCGTAGACTTTCGAATCTCGAAACCCCGGACCTCTCGGCCCCGCCCCTGGGACTGACCCTGGGGCCCGAGACCGACCACCAGAGGCCGAAGACATTTCTTGTGTCCCGGAAGCGCCGGCGATCGCAGTCAAGAGGAGGAGGAGGAGGAGGAGGAGGGCGAGGAGGAGGGCGAGGAAGAGGAGGAGGAGGTAGCGTCTCTAGACAGAAAGGGAGGGGAGAAGAAACAAAAAGAAAAAACAAAAAACAAACAAAAGAAAACGAATAGGCTCCGAAGTGCCTCGAAGCGAAGGCCCGACACGGCCCCAAGACTTGCCCCGCGGAGCAGGCGGGCCGCGCGGGGCCCCGCCGCCGAGAGTCGACCGAGGACGGGCGCCTCGGGCACTGGAAACCGGTGCGAAGTGGAGGCTGGGGCCGAAGACGCAGGAAAGCGTCAGGAGTCAGGCAGAATCCGCCAGGAGGCCTCTCGAGCTGTCCTCGGACGACCTTGCAGGCATCTGGCGCCGTCTTCGAGCCATCCGAGGGCATCTTGGACCCCTCTGCCTTCATTGTCCTCGTCGTCGCTGCCTACAGGGTCGGCGGCATCGGCCGTAAGGCCTTCGCAACATCGTCGAGCCTCTACAGGCCCACAGGTGCCCTCGAGGCCCGGGCCGGCCTTCTGGCCGCTGCCTCGCGCGGCCGCTGGAGCGGCGTTCCGCCCACGGCCCCTCGAGGACTCGCGGGGGCGGGCCCCCGGGAGGCGGCGCCGACCCAAACACAGAGCAGGGAAGCTTTCTCGGCGAGGGGCGAGCCCAGGTCGACGTCCTCCGACGTGATTGCTCCAATCCGCGGCCCCAGAGCTCCCGAGCCCCTCCCCGAGGCCAGGCCCTCGCCCCAGATCCAGGTCTGGCGGCCCGAGGGCCCAGGAACGGGCCCTGGAGCCCCAGAGGCCGAGATGGAAGGAGAACGCTGGGATTGAGAAAGCCGCATCGTCGGAGATCGGCGGAGCAAGGAAAAGGCTGGCATTGACAAAAGCCACCTCGTCGGAGATCGGCGAAGCTGTATCGAGGCCACCCCCCGTTCCCTTCCCTCGGGGACGCCAGCCAGAGGCCTCTGGAGCTCTCCGCCGGTCTATATGTAGAGGTACCCAGGCCAAGAGGGCCTCCAGAGGTCCGGGCTGGAGGATCCTGAAACTTGCGTGATGGGGTGGAGATCTGCCCCAACAGAAGAAACTGGATGTGCCGCACCTGGTTCCGGACACGACAGCACCGCGTGCCCTCGACATCTCGACCATTTTGCTGAGACCAGTTCTCCATTCTCGGACGGCCCCGGA